AAGTCTTGATCCTTTTAAAGTAGATTGCATAAAGGTTGTGCTATCTTCGAAAAGTCCTTAATAGACCTGCTGTAAAATCATGCATGGCCAAGAAAAGAACGAATTTCCCTCATAGTTATGGGGTAAGGAAGTGAGCGTATAACATCTGTTTTAGCTTTATTAATCGTAATCCCTTTTGAGGAAACAATATGACATAAAATTAACCATTTATCAACCATAAAATAACATTTTCATAGTTTAAAACAAGGTTATATTTTAAGCATCTTTTAAGCACATTAGTTAAATTATCAAGACATTCATTAAAAGAATTACCATAAACTGTGAAGTCATCCATAAAGACTTCGATGCTTTTCTCCACATAGTCGGAAAATATACTTAACATGCATCTTTTGAAGGTGGCTGGCACGTTACAAAGACCAAAGGGCATTCGTCTATATGCAAATGTACTAAAGGTACAAGTAAAAAATCATTTTTTTTATCCTCTGGTGCTACTAGATTTGGAAAAAACCTGAAAAACCATCAAGGCAACAATAATGAGTTTTCCCAGCTAATATTTTAATCATTTGGTCTATAAAATGAAGAGGAAAATGAACTTTTCGAGTAAGAGAGTTCAACTTCCTGTAATCAATACAAACTCGCCATCCATTTTGAACTCTTATTGGCACTAACTCCCCTTCTTGATTTTCGACCACTGTGACTCCCGTTTTCTTGGGAACCACATGAATCAGACTTACCCAATTACTATTTGATATCGGATAGATTACATCAGCATCAAAGAGTTTCTGAATTTCCTTCTTCACTACTTCCATCATCGGTGGATTTAATCGAAGTTGTCCTTCTCGTGATGGCTTTGCTTCTTCTTCGACTTTGATCTTGTTCATGCAAGTTGAGGGACATAATAATTTAATTTTGGTAATGGTCCATCCTATGGCTTATTTGTAAGAGCGCAACACTGCTACCAAAGCTTTCTTTTCTTTTTCGGATAATTTACTTGAGATGATCACTGGAAAAGTTTCATTCTTGCCCAAAAAGGCATATTTCAAATGCTCTGGTAATTGCTTCAATTCTACCTCTGGTGCCTGCAAAACAGAAGGTAAAATTTTAGTTTTAAAAGAAGATAAAAATAAATCAGAATTGATTGAATTAATATTTTTAAACTCCCTTTCTTCATATTCGTGGCAAAGTTCAGGATCCTTAAAAAGGTCATAAGAAAAATTATATTCAATATATTCATCAATTAAAGGATCTATAATATCAATAGAATTAATTCTTTCAACATGATCAGGGCATTTCATTGCTTTGTAAACATCAAATTCAACGATCTCACCATCAAATTCCATTATCACTATACCACTTATAACATCGATCTTTGTATGTGCGATGCTTAGGAAGGGTTGGCCTAAAAGTACCTCGGAATAAGTATCCGACCTGTCATGTTCCATGTCAATGACATAGAAATCTGCAAGAAAAAATAATACATCAACCTTTACTAAGACGTTTTCCATTACTCCCACTGGATAGATCACAAATCGATGAGCCAACTGTATGGTTATTCCTGTTTCCTTCAAAGGCTCGTTAGTAATCATTTTATATATAGAAAATGACATAACATTAATTGAAGCTCCTAAGTTACACATTGCACGTTTAATTTTAAAATCGATTATTTTGAAAGGTATAGCGAACATACCTTGATCCTTCATCTTTGGTGGGAGCTTTCGTTGAAAAATTACAGAGACATGTTCTCCCAAATTTACCTTTTCATGCCCCATTAATGTCCTCTTTTTGGTGCAAAGTTATTTTAAAAATCGAGCATACCTTGGTACTTGTCGAATTACTTCAAGAATAGGTATGTTGACTTGAACTTTTTGAAACACCTCTAAGATCTCATTTTCTTCAACTCTTTTATCACGCTTCATCAATCTTGATGAGAAGTGTAGTGGTGTGATTTCATGAGAAGAAAGAGAAGGATGGGTGTTAGACGTACCTTGTATTTCTTAAGGTGGTGTGTTCTCTTGTTCTTTCTGATATGCTACTTTTTCTGCTGGAACTACGGGTGAGATAACTTTTCCACTTTGGAGTGTGATGGCACTAATATTCTTTCTTGGATTTAACTCTGTTTGAGAATGTAGTCTTCCTTGTGATTACAATTTTCCCATAGTTTGAGCTAGTCGGCTTACTTGGTTATCTAACTCTTGAATATGTATTTCGGTTCGGCTTTGGAATTTTTCCTGGGATACAACAATCTTTTCTTGTGAAATTGCTAACTTTCCAATGAGTTCCACTAACGATGGTCTTTGATTTGCCACATAGCTAAAATTTGGGTGGTCTCGCCATCCTGGATTGTAAGTATTGCTGCATGGGTTGTATTGTCTTTGTGGAGGACTTGGAAAGTTCCCTACTGTATTGATTTCTGCATTGCCTCCATCTTGTATCAGCGGGCATCAATCTATCGGATGATCTAGATTTTCTGCATATCCCACATGCTCTTGTTGCTCCAGATTTTCCTACAACAAGTGAATTAACTATTTTAGTTGATTTATCTAACTTATTTTCAAGGGAAAACGTACCTATCTCGTGAACCCGTCGGCTGGGTTTACTTGAAAACTGTTGAGAGTTGGCTACCATGGTTGAAATCAATTCCTTGTTGTTGTTGGGGTCATGTTGACTAATGCTCGTCCATTGGTGGCATCCACCATTTTCATCTCCATTGGTAAAAGGCCTTCATAAAAGTATTGAAGTAACATTTTCTCACTTAATCCGTGTTGCGGATAACGTGCGCAAAGTTTTTTAAATCGTTCCCAATAGTCATAAAGACTTTCTTTTGTTTTGTTGAATGGAAAGAATGCTCCTTCGTTATTTGCTTGATTTAGCCACTAGAAAGAACATGTCAAGGAAAATTCTATTCATGTTAGCCCATGAATTAACTAAATTTGGAGGTAAATAAAATAACCAATTTTTAGCCAAATCGGCTAAAGAGAAAGGGAAAGCTCTCAATTTAATTTGATCCTCAGTAACTCCTTGTGGTTTCATGCTAGTGCAAACCATGTTGAATTCCAACAAGTGTTTGTGCGGATCTTCAGTGGGAAAGCCATGGAAGGTGGGAAGAAGATGAATGAGCCTCGTCTTTCATTGAAACGGAGTCCCGCTGCTAGGAAAATTAATACATAATGGCGTCTGAGTGACAGAAGTTGTGGCTAGCTCTCGGATTGTTTGTTCTTCTTTTACCATCAGGATTTAATCTTGGTTGTATGCGTCTACTTTAGAGTTTGTCTCTGAATCTAGATCTGTTAATTCACCTGGGTTCCTTCTGGTCATAAATCAAAAACTAGAAAAATAAATCAGTACGTGTCGTTAGTTCTCGGCAACGGCGCCAATTTGATAACCGTCGTTTTGCTATCAAAATAATTCCTAGCTTCTTAATTAAATAGAAAGGAAAATGTAGTATAGAGAAGCAGGACCGATCCATAGGGACTATGGTTTTTTTATTTAATAAAACTATTTCTTGATTTTAGGAAAAGATAGAATTACAGGTAAAGTAGAAAATGTATAATAAAAAATAATTATATAAAAGGAAAATAATAAAATAATAAATAGTAATAGTAATAAATATAAAAGGGAGATTTTTAAAAGTTGTTTTTAAAATAAAATATAATAATTAAATAAATGAAAATAATTAAATAAACAAATTAAAGAGATTGAGATAAAGAGAAACTTATTGTGAAAGTAGCCACATACTTCAGATTTGCCTCAAATTCCTCGGATCATCGAAACAGATTTTTACTTCAAGATTCACGTCGACTTACAAGGACAATTCTTTGTTGCCAACTCAGATTATGTTGTTTTAACAATAACTGATTCTGATATCAGTTTCCTCTTAGCAAATAATTTTTCTAAGTATATTATCGGGAAGTCGAATATGGTTCAATAAGCAAATCCTTCTTCAAACGTTAACCATAACAATATCCGGACCAATGTTGAATTGTTTTAATTTGAAAAGCAAGCTCAAAAAATAGAGAGAAAAATTTCGAATCGATTTAAGTACCTTACAATTCTCACGTTTGGAATTGAACATTCACTTCAGTCTTCGGCTTGAGAGTAAATTAGCTAAGCATGTCTAAAGTCATACTTAGCATTATTGAAAAGTACGCGAAAATAGAGAGAAAAAGAAGGTTTTATTCTCATATGATAGAGATATATTTATAGGCTTACCCTAGGAGGGTATTTATAGCATTTAAATTCCTAAAAACAAGCTAAATCATCTTAAATCCTAATTAAAACACTTAAAACTATATAACTAAAATACCTAAAAAAATAATAATATTTTAAATCCTAATTAAAATACTAAAACCTATTTAAACAAAAATATCTAAAACAAAGATAAAATATAAAAATAATATCCTAAAACTTAATTAAAATACTAAAACCTATTTGAACTAAAATACCTAAAACAAAGATAAAATATAATGTTTAAAATATTATTCTAAAACTTGAGTTTAATCCAAATCCGAATTCCATCCAGCTTTGATTCCGAAAATAAAAAAAACTGTAGAATTTCGTCCTTTTAGTGCAATTTCAAAAATCTAACATCCAGCACAGAAAATGAATGAAAACAAACAATTAAGCCACAAAAACCAATGATTAAGGAGTAATTTAAGAGCAAAATATTAACTAAATTAAGCGCATATCACAGATAATGAAGCAGCAATCAAAGCCAGTGCTAAGATGTTGATGCAAAAGAGAAGGAAGTGTATTGGTCAACATGTTCTGCTCATTGTTTGGATCTTATTTTGGAAGAAATTTTTAACAAAAAAGGTGTGAAAAATGTCTTAGATCAAGCAAAAAGGATGACTTTTTTAATACACAATCATACATGGACAATTGATTAAATGAAGAGGTATAACAAAGGTATAGAACTCTTAACGCCGGGGATTACTAGATTTGCTACCAATTTTATTGCTTTGGAATGACTTTTTAGAAGCAAACAAGCACTCAAATAAATGATGACTTCTGCAGAATGGAAAAGGTCCAAGTATGCAAGAAAAATAGCTGAATTAGAGATGATGGAAGTCATTAACTCCACTCAGTTTTGGGAAAAGGTGGGTGATGTCTTAAAGATCCAAGAACCGTTGGTTAAAGTGTTGAGGATGTGTGATGGTGATGAAAACCAACTATGGGTTTGTATTTATGAAGCTATGGATAGAGCAAAATTGGCGATTCGAAGAGATTATCGATATTACCAGAAATATTGGGAAGTAATTGATAGGCGATGGAGCAATCAACTTCACAATGATTTGCATTCAACTGGTACGTTATAAAACTTTTAAATTTAAATTGTGATATGTTGTTTAAATATTTATTATATTGTTTTTTATATAGGATATTTCTTAAATCCACAATTTCTATACGGAGGCAATTCCACAAGTGATATGATTTATGGAATCATGAATGGGGTGAGAAATGTCATACAAAGGATAGAGCCCAACTTGAATGATCAAAGTTTGGAAATGAAGCAAGTATGTATTTTATATACTTTAAATTATTAAGAGAACTTGTATATTATCATGTTTGAACTACTACTTCATTTATTTACAGTTATTGTTATATCGAGATAAAACGGATTCTTTTGGAACACCATTAGCTCAAGCTGCAATTTTAAAGACTAACCCTGGTAAATAAAAACAATTCAATCTTTATAGTTTTGTAGATAATGATGATATATTTATAAATACTTTATGAATTATATCTTAATATTTGTGTTTTTAGCTGAATGGTGGACCAATTATGGAAATTGTGCACTTCAACGTATTGTTGTCAGAGTTCTAAGTCAAATAACCTCTTTTTCAAATTGTAAGTGCAATTGGAGAACATTTAGTATGATCCATACAAAGAAGAGAAATAGGCTCAAGCATAACAAGCTTCAAAAATTGGTTTATGTCAATTATAATATGAAGTTGAAGCTAAGACACATGAAAAAAAAAGTGCACAAGAGCTAGAAATGGGTTTTAATCCAATCAATCTTGAAAATATTTTTGAAGACGATCCACTAAATTCATGGGCTGAAGAAAGACAAGATGCTATGCTCAATAGTGAACAAAATTTCTCATGGTTGCCTGAAGAGTTAATTAATGAAGCAGATGAAGAAATTCAAGGTGAAGATATGCATGACATTTCACCTACTCCATCTAATGATGAAAGTGTTCAACTATCGACGTCAAGTGGTGGTGGTGATGATGGCGGTGATGGCGGTGGTGGTGATGATCATGGTGGTGATAATGAAGGTATGTACCAACCAGAATATGTGCACACTTATTCCAATACTTTTTATGGAGATCAAGGTACGTCTAAATATCCTTATGTTGATGATTCAGGTTTGTATGGAACAAATACATCTACTGGTTTGTAAAATAGAAGAGATGAGGATGATAGAACTCATAAAAAGGGCGATAGAACACTTTTATGATTCATTTGCAGGTTCATCATCATATAGTTTAGCTATAAATGATAATGAGATTAGTGAATCATCTCAGGGTTCTCATTCCAACCAACAAAATGCATATTATCCACCTTACCTTGAAAAAAAATCCAAGTTATGGATATTTTGATCATCATTTATCATACAACATGTTACCTACCAATAATGCATCTTATGATGCACACAATGTGATGTCTTCACATTGAATAAGAATGAATCAAAACCATGACAATGATGAAGATAAAAATGCTTTAGATCCACCGCACCATTCATTTTGGTGGTGAAGAAATAAAACTTTTTATTTGTATTTATGTATTTTTTTCTCTTTAAGTTATGTAAAATGAATTCTCTTAAGTTAAAATATGAGAACTTTGATATGTTTTTTAATGAGATTATTTATATGTCTCCTACCTATTGTTATTATCTACCATGCTGGAGAGTCAAATGATACCACTATATTAAAATGTAGTTGTAAAATGTATAAATATAATATTTTAGAAGTATTGTGATTTTTGAGGAAGAAATCACGCCCGCTACAGCTGCAACACGTTACGTAACATCCATAGCATCCGCAACCGCGACACCACAACCGCAACAGATGCCGCAACCACTATTTTATACTATGCTTCATACACAATTAATAAGTATGGTTGTTGTTGCAGTGGGTGGGTGGAAGTAACCACCATCACCGGAAAAATATATTTGTGGGGTTTATGGGGGATGGTTGATGGGTCACTTTCTTGTAAGTATAGGCATATATACTGCTTGGATCAATACACAGGAAGATGAAAGGAAAGAATTGAAGGAAGTAAGAAAGGAAGGGAGGAAGAAGAAGAAGAAGAACTTGCTTCCACATCAAAAAGTTAACGGCAATTAAGTGTCACGTCAGCAAAAACTAATGGTAGGTAACGGCATCGACCTTATTGAAAATAAATTAAAAGTTCAACGATTGTATTGCAAGTTTCAAAAATTGGATGACCAAAATGCAATTGTCCTAAAAGTTTGGGGACTATTTATATAGTTTACCCTAATTTTTATACGATACTTAAATCATCTAAAACTCCACTATCTACACGTACGATGATGATACATACATTTAAATTAAATGCACATGTGAGCATTTAATTGAGTCGATTGAGATTTTTTTTTTGGTTACCAAAAGACTGCAAATTAGAAATTTAAACGAAGTTGTTGTTCTCCATGTCCTGATCCAGCAAGAGTTAAAGACCATGCGGGGGACTCCTCACCACTGTAAGACCAAGATCTTTCGAAAGCCCTAGTTTGGCGAGCGCATCAGCAGCAACATTATCAGCACGTCCAATGTAGAAAAACTTCACGCTCCACTAAAGTCTAATTATCGCCTGAACACGACGAACTAAGGTAACATCGTACGGCTGTGCCAGAGAATTCAACATACGGCTGTCTCCCTGTTGTCAGATTCCACCTCAATGGCACGGTCTCCCCTTTCCCAAGCGATAGTCAAACCATTCAAAATTGCGCAGAGTTCCGCGTGTAAGACATTACATCGACCGACATTTCAAGTAAAACCAATTTTTCATCTTCCTTCACTATCCCGAAGAATGCCTCCGCCCGTTGCTAACAACATCATCGGTATTAATCTTAAGGACATCGTGAGGAGAGGGTGCCACCGCTGCCTTTGTCGAAGGGGAACTTGCACGTGTTAGCAGCCTTGTGATGCCGGAGCATCTTAGTCGACGATATAGCAGAGTGAACAATATCAGCCGCGGATCAAATCCTACCCTGGAAAACAAACTCATTACGCTATTTCCAAATTCGCTAGATTATAATACCAAACAAATGCCTCCAATAAAAATCTGGTTTATCAAGAGTAGCATTATTCTTAAGGTTATGGGCAAGCCAAGCATCAAGATTAGAATTGAAAAAGCAAGTAATAGAATTCGGTACCAGAGGTTGCCAAACTATTTTAGCCATGGTGCAGTCCCGAAGAATGTGATTAATTGTCTCCTCTTGTGAACCATAAATTGGGCACCGCTGGTCGTTGTTTATCCCTCTCCGATTTTTCTCTGCGTTAGTCATTAATCTACGGTGAACAACGATCCAAATGAACTGTTTGATGCATTGCGGACCATCAAAATCCCAAACAATGCTCCAATCAGAACTACGATCAGCCCGGGCCATTCTACTTAACTAGTTGAAGGCCGACCTGACTGTGCAATTTCCATTACTCTCCCAGAACCACGTAGGCCTATCATCGCCATCCATGTCAGGGGGTGGAACCGCTGCAATTCTTTGGACAACACCCTCGTCCAAACCTGAAGCAAAAGCGATAAATTCCAGCATCCATTATTTTCGTTTGTGTATCAACAATATGATTAGTCGTTGGGTTTCAATAATAGGCTTAAACTCCGGTATCCTGGAATCAATCCAGAATCGGGTAGTGCTACCATTTCCCAAAGACCAACAGATATTCTCACGGATGAAGTCCCGCACGTGGCTAAGGGATCGCAAAACATACGACGAATGACAACAATTAGACTTGGTCAAGAATTTGCTCTCCCAAATTAGACTTGGTGCAGAGGACTTGAACCCAGAGAACATCACTCTTCCTAAGAAGGTTAAATCCCATTTTAGCAAGAAAAACTTCATTTTGATTTCAGATCTTCCGAAATTCTAGACCACCACACTGCCTAGGTTGACAGCACTGATTCCAATTAACGAGGGACAATTAAGGACAACTGTTCAACCTACACCATATAAAACGATGGATGTTTGATTAATTTTGTCACAAATGTACCTGAGAATTTGCACCGTTTGCATGAAATAGTTTAGGATAGAATGGAGGTCGTCCACCCATTCAATTTGATGTTCACCTTGTCGATTATAAAATGAATGGTGTCCTTAGTAACTCTCTTATGAAACAGGGGCATACCCAAATACCTTCCGAGATCTTTGGTATGAGTGAACCCCATACGGGCGCATAGAGAATCGGCTTCCTCCTTAGATACATTAGCAAAGTAGAAGATTATGGTTTTGCTCAAGTTGACCTTGTGTCCTGAGTAGAGACTAAAATGATCAAGGATGGTTGATGAGTGTTCTAAATCGATATTATTTTCTTGTTAAATCTTTGATCTTATAGATTTATTGCTGCTGATTTGGTTGTGTTATGCTTATTTTTGTGTAGGATCTTACTTTTCAGAATTAGCAGTAAAACGTGCGCATTCTGTATTTTTTTATTATTTGGTCACAGTTGGAGACATGGGCACGACTGTGGGCATGACACGGTATGGCGTGACAATTTCTAGAAGGTCAATTCAACAACAATTTTCTAGAAAAGCTAGTCAGTGCCTTTTGGAAAGTGGACGGAAAGAGATATCTTAGGAGATTTATTTTTAAATTTTAAAGTTTGAATTTAAAAACATTTGGAATTATCTTTAGGATTATTTTTATGTTTATTTCTAGGGTTTTAGAGGCTATAAATACCCTCTCGGGGTAAGCCTAAACTCACAACTCAGAATTTCTCTTTTTCTTTCTAGTTTTATAAAATTATTTCTTTTATTTTATTTTCAAGTTTTTGGTTTTACTTTATTTTAAGTTTTATTTTTAAACATGATAATTATGACTTTTGTCATGCTTAGCTAATTTTCTCATAAGTCGAGAGCTGAAGCGATGACTCAATTCCAACGTGAGAATTGAAAATCACCTTAATAACTTCGGAATATCTCTCTCAATCTTTGCGCTTATTTTCAAAATCAAAACAGTTTTCAAAATCAAAGATTGACTTTGGTCAAGATGTTGTTGTGATTAAATGCGTGGGAGTTAGGATCGGCTTATTGAATGCACATTCTACTTCCTGGGAAAACACTTGGCGAGATTGCGCTGCCAAGAGGGAATTAAGATCGGAATTAGTAGTTACTGAAACAACAATCTGAGTCAGACTTCACCAACTTAAACGATTATTGATATACAGCAATTAGTGTTGATCAGATCAATTTCTGAAGCCAGAATCAAATATTGCCTTAGGTATTCAATATACAGAATAGAGTCACGAGGATTGCCCTTGTAGACAAAATAACCGACGTGAATCCTGAAGGGAAAATCTAATTCGATGATCCGAAGGAAATTGAGTCAAAGTCAGACTTAAGGCTATTTTTACCATATTCATTTTTCAACCTTTAATTTTTATTTTCTTATTTTTACTTTAAATCACTTTTTATTATTTAATCATTTTTATCAAAACCCTTTTTTTTTACTAATTACCGCCTGATTTAAGAAATTCAAACAGAAATTTGGAATTTTCTAATTCACTGAGGATCAACTCTTACTTCTCTTTACTACGTATTTCCTTTAATTATTAATTGAGAAGAAGGAATTTATTTTGACATCAAAACGACAGTTTTTAAATTGGCGCCATTGTCGGGGACTTCGCCAAAGTTACTAATTTTTGTTTGCTTTTGATTTATGACCATGACAAACCCGGGCGAATTTGTGGAGTACAACCCAAAAATTGAAGCCAGAGCTAGGAGACTTCACGTACAGACGCTTCGGGAAAGAAGGTGACAACAATCAAATCTATAATCGAATTTAGAATCAAGTTCAGGCGAAGCCGTTAATATAGAACCAAATCCGATGGCCGATCCTACTACAAGAGAGTTAGCCGTAGCTTCTACTGAACAAGAGCCTTTGTGCATTGATTTTCCCCAACAAGAAACTCCATACCAGTTAAAAACTAGTCTTATTCATCTCCTCCCTACCTTTCGCGGATTAGCAAACGAGAATCCACATAAACATCTCATGAAATTTCACATGGTCTGTTCCAGTATGATACCACAGTGAGTATTCGGCTAAGGAGTGGTTATTTTTTTACCACCAAATTCTATTACTACATGGGCTCAAATGACTCGCCTTTTTCTTAACAGGTTTTTTCCTGTGGTGAAAGCAAGTGAGTTACGAAGAAGAATACTTGGAATCAAGCAACTTGATGGAGAGTCACTCTATGACTACTGGAGAGATTTAAAAAATTATGTGCTAGTTTCCCACAACATGGGTTAACCGAACAAACACTCCTTCAATATTTTTATGAAGGATTAATTCCCCTGAAAATGAATATGATCGATGCTTCCATCGGAGAAGCCTTGGTGAACATGACTCCTACCAAGGCTAGGGATTTAATTTCCACAATGGCCGCAAATTCCCAACAGTTCCACCTAACCAATGAACCTCCTCGAATGGTTCATAAGTTCATCTTCTTTAGAAAGTAAGATAGATAAATTAACTGAAGTAGTCAACTCTCTTATTGCAAGAAAGACATGACCCAATAGATTATGTGGAATATGTGCATTACTTGATCATCCAATAGATGGTTGTCCACTGATTCAAAATGACACAATGACTTAAGTTAATGCAGTAGGAAACTTTCCAGGACCTCCTTAGAGGCCTTATAATCCCTACAACAACACTTACAACTCAAGATGGAGGGATCATCCAAATTTAAGGTACGTTCAAAATTCAAGGCCAAATCAAGCTTATCAACCAATGTCAGCGCCACCACTCCAACAGCAGCAGAAGTCATCGTTAGAATCAATCGTTTAAAGATTAGCTCTTTCCCAGGAAAAGTTTCAGATTCGTACTGAAGCTCACTTACAAGAGGTAGACAAGCAGATAAGCCAACTGGCTCAGACCGTGGGACGCTTGGAATCATAAGGTAAACTTTCATCCGAAACTGAGGTAAATACAAGGGAGAATGTTAGTGCTATCACTCTTCGGAGTGGTACAAAGGTTGTGCCACCTGTTCCAAAAGATGAATCAATCCAAAAAAGAAAAAAAATTGTTGACTCAGGATCCGAAAAGAAGAGTAACGAAGTAAAAACTGATCCAACACCATCTCCATATGACGTT